GAAAAAAAAAAAAAAAGGTAAAAAGTGAGAGCTGTATAATAAAATGTCTAGTTATTTATCAGAAAACTGTGGGTCTTTGTTTTTCTTTTCTTTTTACTATGAATATAGCCCTTGGCTTTAATGAAGTTCTTGGGTTCCAGCCATAACAGAGAGCTTTTATTAGAATGGCATACTATTAACCATAATGATTGTTGTATAATGTCTGTGTTTTTGAAATCCATTGTTGTATAATAGCTGAACTGCCACCCAATTATAATTTTCCACTTCATATTATATTGGTCCAGAATGAATATTAAAGATATCTTCTCTCTGAGGTGGAGTTTAATCACTAGAAAATACAATTATGCATAGAGAATTCAGTAACATCATAAAGCCATATATATATCACTACTAGATTCTTCTTGGACTAATGTAATAGAACCTAATAATTATGTAAAATAGAAATGAATTGTCATGACCTTCAGAAACTAAATAAAATTATGCAAAAATAGAATATTATAGTCAGTGTGCAAGACCCACAGATTTTTGTCTACTTGGGAAGAAACATAATGAAATTTGTGGTGTGTAATATGTTGTGTGACAGTCTATAGATTTAAAATTATAATAAGAAAAAAAAAACCTCTGTTATGTAGCAACCTGAGTATTTTTAAAATGTTGTTTAAATCTTCACAATATGCCATAAAATAGGTTTTGTTATTATGCCATTTTACAGATTAGGAAACTGAGGCTTAGAGAATTTAAGTAGCATGCCTAAATCACGCAGTTGGTAAAAATTAGCCCTGAGATGAGATTCCAAATGTATAGAACTTTATTTTTTTATTTTTATTTTTATTTTTTTTTCAACGTTTATTTATTTTTGGGACAGAGAGAGACAGAGCATGAACGGGGGAGGGGCAGAGAGAGGGAGACACAGAATCGGAAACAGGCTCCAGGTTCTGAGCCATCAGCCCAGAGCCTGACGCGGGGCTCGAACTCACGGACCGCGAGATCGTGACCTGGCTGAAGTCGGACGCTTAACCGACTGCGCCACCCAGGCGCCCCCCAAATGTATAGAACTTTAAAACCTATCTTTGAATCACATCCTATCGTTCTCTTGAAAACCCCCCTCTCACTATATTAAAATTTTCTAAAATGATTGATATAAAGTGAGAATGGGGGCTTTAACTTGGATAATTATATGACCAGAATCTAACCATGAATAGTCTTTTCTTCCTATGAACGTGTAACATACGTTATTTGTGCTACTCATTTGATATTTTGCATATCATAGATAAAAGACACAGTACAATGCAAGGTTAAATACATAATAAATGCTATCAACGAGTTCATGCTTGGGCAGCCCTGGTAGAAACTGATGGGATGTGTTGCCATTTGAAACCTTTCTTTCTCCATACCAACACAGCTCTGCAGCTAACTGTGGCTTCTCTGTAGCAGAGAAGAGGGCTGATCATGGGCCAGGCCATAGAAAGAAATTCCCTACTCAGAAATCTACCTGTTTTTGATTTCTGTTGCTCCTCTTCTAGCTTCCAAAGCTAATGCTATTTTAAAGTTCAAGCCAGGTCATAAAAATTGGCAAAAACTCTGGAATCACTCTTGTCAAAAAACAAAAACAAGAACAAAAACATCTCATGTGCCATTATTTAATTTCAGTGGTGATTCTTCTTATTTTTTCTTTCATTTAATTGGAAAGCTCCTTTTGATTTGTAAGTCCAACCCAATTTCTCAGAGTTCCTTTTTTTTAAATATTATTTATTTATTTTGAGAGAGAGAGAGAGAGAGAGAGAGAGAGAAAATCCCAAGCAGGATCTGCACTGTCATTGCAGAGCCTGATGCAAGGACTCAGACTCACAAACCGTGAGATCATGACCTGAGCCAAAACCAAGAGTTGTATGCTTAACCAATTAAGACACCCGGGTGCCCCTAGGATTCCTTTTTTCAAATGTTTATGTATTTATTTTGAGAGAGAGAGAGAGAGAGAAAGGGAGAGCATGTGCACACAAGTTGGGGAGGGGCAGCAGAAAGAGAGGGAGAAAGAGAATCCCAAGTTTTCAGCGCAGAGCCCAATGAGGGGCTTGATCCCACGAACCATGAGATTGTGGCCTGAGCCGAAATCAAGAGTCAGACACTCAACCAGCTGAGTCACCCAGGTGCTCCCAGGTGCTCAAAATCCTTAAAAGTAGCTTTGTGGTATTATTAAATATGAGTTTAGAAATCTTTTTATTATACAGATTTTTTAAATAATAGTACTCATTGTCTTACTATATGGCTAATATGTTTATCTTTCACTATTCAGGAATATACTGCTAGCCAATATACCCTATTTTTTGGGCTATAAATACCAACAATCAAACAATGGAAGGAGAAATGAGTGGAAAATCAGGTTCTGTTTCTGATAAATTATAAACAGAAAGTATTTTTTTAATGTTTATTTATTTTTGAGAGGGAGAGAGACAGACAGAGCATGAGCGGGGGAAGGGCAGAGAGAGAGGGAGACACAGAATCAGAAGCAGGCTGCAGGCTCCAGGCTCCGAGCTGTCAGCACAGAGCCTGATGCGGGCCTCAAACTCACAAACTGTGAGATCATGACCTGAGCCGAAGTCGGACACTCAACCCGACTGAGCCACCCAGGCACCCCAGAAAGTATTTTTAAAACTCATATAAATTCTATTCATATAATAACTATGTAAGTAATTTACTTGTATTTAAATGAAAATGATCCTTTCAGAAATATGGTATTTAAATTAATACTAATTTGTATGTGTGCTTTGTACATTGCCCTAGTTCTCAGTTTTTTATTAATTTCCTGTGACTCCTGACAAATTTACTTTTTTACCGCAATATATATAGCACATTATATTTTGATCCTTATAATTATTCCTCTTAAGATCATCTAACCTGAAATAGCGGCTCTGATGTCTATGCATGAAGTGTTTGTAGAGCAGTAGCCTTGTGATTTCTCAAAGGTACAGTGGGTAATGAGTGATTAAATTGCTCTGACACCACTAGATCCTCCTTTAACATTCCCAGGGCCTGAGGCAAGAATACATGGAGAGCTGCATACTTCATGTTAAATATTTAAGTGTCATGAATCAAGCGTAGAAGCTATTATAGTCTATCCTCCTACTGATAAATATACCTGGAATGGCAGAGTGAAATTTAAAATGCTCATATTCCAACCAGTTCTGTTCCAGGAAACAGTGGCACAGGAACACCTGAGCCATGGCCCATCCCCTTCTCTTCCCACCTTTCCAGTGGGAGGGGTCTTGAGTGTGAATTTGAGTACAGCCCATTTGCACATCCCAGCTTCATCCATATACCCCTCATTATGCTACAACATCACCCCTTGACTTCAGGCTTGGGAAAGAGGACCACATGAGGCCTAGAAGCAGAAATAGGGTCGGTTGGGCAGGAAATTTGGGGATCTGCCTGTGGGTACCAACAGCTTGTTCTAGAAGAAAGCAGACTCAGGTGGGGGAGAGAGATGGCTAGAGGAGGACCACAGCAGGGCCCTCTATAAGTGTAGACCTAATGAAGGACTCCCTGGCCAAGGATTAGTCTATTGAACAGTCTTTGAGTAAACTAATTTCCATCTTTGCTCTCAGTTACTGTCTCTGGTTATTTTAGAATGCTTTGGCGACGCATTGAAAATTAAGTCTTCTGGGGTGCCTGGGTGGCTCAGTCAGTTGAACACCCGACTCTTGATTTCAGGTCATGATTCCAGGGTCACGGGATTGAGCCCTGCATCAGGCTCTGTGCTGAGTGTGGAGCCTGCTTAAGATTCTCTCTCCCTCCTTCTGCCCCTCTCTCCAACTTGCACATGCACACTATCTCTCTCTAAAAAAAAAAAAAAAAAGAATGCACACACACAAAAAGAAAATTCTTTTTTCAAAAACTAATGATTTAAATAAAGGTTTTCAAGACATTTAAGACTTGCTTGGCTTTCTCTCTTCATAGCACTAGATTTTAATATAGCATTTTAATATATTGAAGTACACAGAGGTTAAGGGGTTACAGTTTCTGTTTAGAAACATGATTTTACGGGGGTGCCTGGGTGGCTCAGTCGGTTAAGCGTCCGACTTTGGCTCAGGTCATGATCTCGCAGTTTGTGAGTTCAAGCCCCTCATCAGGCTCTGTGCCGACAGCTTGGAGCCTGGAGCCTGCTTCATATTCTGTGTCTCCTTCTCTCTCTGCCCCTCCCCTGCTCATGCTCTGTCTCTCTCTGTCTCTCAAAAATAAATAAATGTTAAAAAAAATTTTTTTAAATGTGATTTTACAGAGAGCATTTTAATTTCATTTCATCTGTTATCAGAATGGGATGCAAAATGACTTCCATGTTTCTAGAACAATTATGACATAGTTGAGTTAGTATAACTTTGAAAACTTGTTTTGTTTCTTCCTTGTGAAATGTCAAAAAGGCTATGTTTTCTAACTATTTTGCCTGCCAGTCACTTCTGTACCTTCCAAATTTTTCATATGGTGCAGAGTTGAACTTTGCCTAATGAGCTAGAGCTCAATTCTTACATATTTGGAAAGACATGAAATGTAGGCATGTGAGATTGTGTTGTGAGAAAACATAATTATTTCTTTACAATACAGAAGATCAAAGTCCAACTATTATAATTGGCCTTTACTAACGTCTAATAATAACTCATTAACTGAACACTTACTGAATTCGTCTCCTAGGGCTACCATAACCAAGGAGCAAGAACTAGGTGGCTTAAAAATGGCAGAAATTTATACTCTCACACTCTGGAGGCTAGAAGTCTGAAATCCCAGTGTTGGGGTCATGCCCCCTCCAGATCCTCTAGGGCAGGCTCTTTTCTTGCCTTTTCCTGCTTCTAGTAGCCCCAGAATGTACTTGGCTCGTGGTAGCAGAACACCAATCTCTGCCTTGCTCTTCACATGGCTGTCTTCCCTCTTATCTGTCTGTGTCCAAATTTTCATCTTCTTGTAAGGACTCCAGTCCTGTTGGATTAGGCTAAGCCAGTATAATGTCATATTAACCTGATTCTGTATGAAAAATCCAGTTTCCAAAAAAGGTGACATTCACAGGTACCAGGAGTTAAGACTTACACATATCTTTTGGGGGGACACAACTCAACCCATATCACTAATCCTGTGTCTGGCACAGGATTGCTCAAAACCTTATAGCAACCCTATGAAATGAGTACCACCGTTGCTCCTGTTTTATAATTGTGGAAACTGAGGACCAGAGACGTAATGTCACTTGTCCAAATCCACATAGCTGGTTATTGCCTACAACATAGACAAGCCCGAGCAGTCTAGCTCCAAAGCCCACATTGTAACCACTGAGCAATATGGACAACCCCTGGCTATACATTAAAATATAGTAGTGTTGTCGTTTTCGTATATTTTATTTAAATAAATTCATTTTTTAAATATTTATTTATTTATTGAGAAATAGAGCAGACATGCATGCACAGGCAAGCAGAGTAGAGTCAGAGAAAGAGGGAGAGAGAGAGAATCCCAGGCAGGCTTCGTGCTATCATCAGGGAGCCCAGCACAGCACTTGAACTCATGAACCTGAGATCAAGACCTAAGCTTAACCGACTGAGCTACCCAGGCACCCCTATTTAAATAAATTCTAAGGCCCTGTGCTGAAAGCTAGAATCTTTCTCATTTTGTGTCTTTTTATAACTGTCTTTGTATCTAACCATTACTGGTAATTTTACATTGGTAAGACGGCTGGATTAGTTGGACTTTTTTTAGTACCTGGTGATATGAGGAGATACAGGAACCAGTGTAAACAGTAAAAGCTACTTAAGAGATGTAAGAAACAGAAGAAAGTTAGAGGCTACATTGGGTGGTTTTCACTACAGATGGGTAAAATATTAAGAATATTTTTCTGTTATAAAATACATTACTTACTTGGGGTACCTGGGTGGTTCAGTCAGTTAAGTGTCTGACTTCAGCTCAGGTCGTGATCTCATGGCTGGTGAGTTCAAGCCCCACATCGGGCTCTGTGCTGACAGCTCAGAGCCTGGAGCCTGCTTCAGATTCTGTGTCTCCCTCTCTCTCTGCCCCTCCCCCACCCATGCTCTCTCTCTCTCTCTCTCTCTCTCTCTCTCTCTCTCTCTCTCTCCCTCCCTCTCTCAAAAACGAATAAATGTGAAAAAAAATTTTAAATATATTACTTTCATAATTATCTTACCAGGAGTTAATAAAGAGTATTAGTCAAATAGAGACAGATAGTTTTATGCCTATTTCATTTCTGGAGTTTCAGAGAAGAATTGCAGGAGAAATTATAAGGTGTCCTCACCTTATAATGCTATAAAGTTCAGCTTATTGGTAAACTAAGTGATTGCTAAGGGAATATTAAATAAAGTGTAAATGTATATTTATATGTACAGGAACATATGAAAATGCAGGTGGTAAATATATTCCTATGCAGACACTGATTTATAAGCAAAGACTAAACATTCTAGTTAACATTATATATAGATATAGGTAGGTAGATAGAACCTAGATGAGAAAAATGCACACAATAAGGCTAGACTAGTCACAATTCCACTAGGTATTGCAATATGCCTCCTAAATGGAAGATAAAATTCTGTAGGGAAGTGAGGTTTATATTTCATATTGCGTCTCAACTGGGAAGAATGTTTACTTCCCTAGGTTTCCTTACTGTTGATGCGTAAGCACCCACATTCTAAGAGGTGAGTGGGCATGATCCTCCTCTTTCTTGATTGATATCTTTGCCTTCTCTGTCCCCTTCTCTCCCCAGATTCCTTAGTTCCCCTCCAACCTGAGGGGACAGGGGAGTGTGGGGGAGAGGTCCCAGGCCCAAGATTCCATCTGCTCTCCTTCCTGGATCCCAGAGGGGGACAGGGGAAGAGGGTGGCATCCCTAACCCTCAGCAGTGAGGAAGAACAGGGCTCCTAGGGCCTGAGCTCTGACCACTACCCACCATCTCCCTTCCTCCCTGCTCCCAAGACTGGCCCACTTCTGCATGGGGCAGTGGGTTACAGCTCAGTTCGCACTGAGAATGTAAGAGCTACAAAATTTCTATTAAATTAAGTTTTGTGTCTTCAAAAGAGAGAGAAAGAGAGAAAGAGAAAGCAAAGTCCCCTCAATCCTTTTAACCTTTCTGCTGCACTGGTGCACCCTCTCCTCTCAGGGGACTTCAGATTCAGCTAATCCTTGATGTAGAGTCAGACATGGCCTCTGCCACCAAGATCTCTGGGTTCTATTCAGATCACTTCAGCATCATGCTATTTAACATGCACTCTTGTGAACATAAAAGCATGGAGTGTAACACATACCATTAATAGATAATAAGCCACACATTAGTGAGTAGAATACTTTACCAACCAATAAGGCAAAGCAGACTGTGTCTAGCACTGTGAGAACCCATGATTCCCTTGTGGCATTTCTCTTGCCCTGCCATCAGAACTGTGGAGCCAAGTCTGATGACAGATGTCTCTTCCACATTCACTATATGGGGACACTCTGCCTTCTCTTCAAGGACCTGAAGACCTGTTTTTGCTTTTGTTCAGATTTCCATTCTGCCATGGATCATCTCGTGGGTCACAACCTCTCTCCATCTAAAACATGGAGATAATGACCCTTGCCTCTGTACCTATTTCACAAGAGTGCTGTAAAAACTACAGAAGAATTAATTTTTCTTAATGTTTAAGATATCATTAATGTATTAAATCTAAACTTAAGATTGTTTTAGACCTGTGGACTATGCTTCTGGGTCCAAATTTATGTTCTTAACATATTGGATACCTTTTTAATGTAATGGCCGCCATGCTTAGAAGAATATTTTTTAAACCTGGAAAGGAAACTGTTAGTGAGTCCATTTAAACGTTTGTTTATTTGAAATACCAAATGCAGGCCAGCAAAAATAAAACATTCAATATATTCAAAATTGTTATCATGAATAGGAAAACACCTTATTTCTTGAAATTTATATAATTGTATATATTTTATTTATTTTTTTATATTTTAAAAGTTACATATATTTTTTCTGTTGCCATGAGGAGATCTTTGATTTTGTCTTCCCTATAGTGCTTTCCTGTAGTCCTACTGAAATATGCCGTGTTTTTCATATTGGTCTTCATGGGCCATTAACACATCTTAAGAACTGTGATCTTTTCTATTGCTTTGACAATAACATACCCTTTACCACACTTAAAGTAGTTTAGGTGACAGCTGTTATTCTGTGGGCTACGTACTGAACCCCATAGTATCATATATGACTTACTTTCACAAGCAAATGCCTGAGCCACCAAAATGCCAGCAAGGATACGAAGTAGTACCGACTATTCCTCTTCAGGCGTGAGTAGAACGGGGCCACAGCTGATTTCACAAAGTGGTAAGCATATGTCAGTGCTTAAAATAATAGCCCTCCATTTCCCACCCCTTGATTTCTCAGTGTAAACTGATGGGAACTCATGAATAAAATCTCTCTCTCTTTTTTTTTTTTTTTTTCCTGCCAGCCTCAATGTTTATGTTAGCGTTAAGCCAGAAGAAAAGAAATGAATTTTCAGTTTTTAATCTGAAACATTTTCCTGCTGTTTTTCATAGGCTTCTCCTCAGAAAAGAAAGTCAATCAGTAGAAGCACACACACGTGCAGAGCGTACGGGCGGAGGGAGAGCTTGGCCGAGGGCCCTCATTTCTCTTTTTCCCGTGGCTTGCGTCTGCACAACTGCGTACCATCTACTCCATTATTTGTGCCCGGCAGTGTCTCCCTGTGGCATGGATAGAGGAAAAGACTTGTGACGGCTAAGATCCTGATCAAGTCTGAGAAGCCAGTGTGACACAACCAAACACAACTTCCAGTTTCCTCGGCATGAGATTGAGCAGACAGATTATGCGCCATTCTTTGAAACTCTCTTCAGCATATCGCTGTCAGATTTTACAGAGGTGATTTCCCAATTTCAGCGACTCCACTTTTGGTGCAGTGGTGTTATATGTTGATTGAAATATGTATTCCCTGGGGGAAAAGCATCTGCAGGGGTAAATTTGTAACAATGCTCCCGTTAGTTGTATAGGGGCTTGGTTCTTTACCCTGTTTGATTAGATACTGTGTTCATCCTTGTTGGCCTCAGTGAACTTGTCAATAGGACTGAAGAGGTGTATATACTTCCTGAAACTCAATGAATGGTTCAATCTGAATAACATATAAACTTGAAACTGTTCTTTAAACAGATCATTCCTTTAAGATGATGGGAAATTGTGAGCCTACTTCATTTCTAGGTGGACTAGATTATGAAAGAAAACCCTACTGTGATGATGATGGTATTGGCTGTGTTCATATACACGTCCAGTAGTAGTTCGGGGATACGTGGATTTGTAGTTAAATCTGTTTTTTCTTCCTGTGGATTTGAGTAATTATTGATGAAAAACATGTCTGACTTCTCGAACCTATTAAAATGGAAAATGAATGTATCCGAATTGTGTGGCAATTAAATTGTACAGTGGCATGACAGATGTCTAAAGACTAAGCAGATTTAAAAGTATTCCGTTCATCCATTTAATAAGGGTTTTGCTACGACCAACCGGAGATCCTCTTTGTGAGATGTATAACAGGAGCGTGAGATCCACAGGTATCTGTGATCCTAGACGTACCTAAAGAAAACCGGAAGCATCTGCTGAACCTGAAGTCACATAAAACAATCCAAGATACTGCCGGAACTATCTAGCTCCGACTTCCCGAAGTTATACTACTTAATTCCAGCTCAGATGCTTTTCTTTTTCAGTTTCTGAATATACTTGAAACTTCGTGTAATGGAGAAGTGAAAGAGCTTTAGAAAGTTAACTACTTTCAGCCTGAGTCCAGCTACTCAAACCACAATTCCTGAGAAAGAACTATCCTTCTCTTACGTTAATTCTCTGAAGCTTTGTTTTTGTTTTCGCTGCTCCTTATTAAAGAGACAAACCATTCTTGAGCAATACTTCAGCATAAGTGAATCAGGAAAACAATGGAGTTTATAAGTCAGTTTCATGGAAACACATTTTTTTTTTTTTAAATTTCTGTTTCCTCGGATTAGTGGAAAAGTCATTGCAGTAACAACTTTGAGTGATGGATTAAGTTTACCAACTGAGATGTGCCTGTCAGAATAAGAACGGAACACACATACAAGAAGTACCCTTTGATGGACTCATTCTAAGTCAATCCAACAGCAATAAAACAAGACTTAACCATCCCATTACTATCACTGAAGTCTTCCTATTATTAATTAGCAAATTGGCAAACATTGGCAAGATGGCACCAATGCTAATGTAATGGGAAAAACTCCAATTTAAGTGAGACCTAATTTAATTTGAATTCCCAGTGGGTGACTGCAAATGTGAGAAGGGGACCCCTTGCTCTGAATACACCTGCGCTTCCAAGAAGACAGATGTCTACAGCCTTGGCCATGGCCCGAGAGCCAGCCAGTCCCTCCTGGGTCCTTCTCCCCAAATCGTTTGTTTGGGGACTTCTGTCTCAGCCCATAATAAAGGTCATCCTCAGCTGTGGCATTTGCTTCATTATCACAGCACAATTTGTGGAAATTGTGTGAGGAATAGCTGAGGGGAAGAAGTCCTACCACACAGTCTCTTTTATCTAGGAAATGTACAACTAGGGCACATTTTAAGTTTTTGATGATCGTGGAGAATTTGATCTTGAAGGTATCACATTCACTTTGTCCTGATTGTGATGTGAAGTCAAAAGAAAACCTTCCTTGGGGTCTGGTTAGGTCTGGGAGTTAGGCCAGCCTCTGTTGCTACTAGCATAGAGTTTTACCTCATTTTCTTTTCAACAAAAAGGACATTTCAGACTAACTTGCTAATATTATTAATTATGGACAGAGTTCCACATGATTTCTTTAGTTTATTTACTGAGCTCCATCACCCAGCAAGAGAGGTATAATTACTGCCTTGTTACAGATGATTAATCTAGGGCACAGAGAGATTCAGTCATTTCTGCAAAGTCTCAAGGCAAGGAAATGGCCAAGCCAGGATTCAAAATTGTGGGCCAGGGCCACCCAGTTCTGTGCACGCTGTAATTCTGTTTTCTAGGTTACCCCAGCAAGTTCTCCTTGTTTTTATAGTTCTTTCGGGTTTTCACAAAATTGCATTACAAGAACATAATTGTTAGGAGAAAGTATTTTAATAAGGAAAATACTGTATATTGTATAGAATTTAGTAAGTTACCCCTGGAGTGAAGAGAAATATCTCATTTTGGGGCGCCTGGGTGGCTCAGTTGGTTGAGCATCCAACTCTTGGTTTTGGCTCAGGTCATGATCTCACGGTTCGTGGGTTCAAACCCCTTTCGGGCTATGTGCTGACTGTGGAGCCTGCTTGGGATTCTGTCTCCCTCTGTCTCGGCCCCTCTCCTGCTCGCTCTCTCTCTCTCTCTCTCTCTCTCTCTCAAAAATAAATAAATAAATAAATAAATAAATAAATAAATAAATAAATAAGAGAAGTATCTCATTTAGGCAATTACATGGGAAAAGAAAAATATACACTTAATGTTAAAGTGACATGAGGGGCACCTGGGGGCTCAATAGGTAAGTATCTGACTTCGGCTCAGGTCACGCTCTCACAGTTCATGGGTTTGAGCCCCATGCTGGACTCTGTGCTGACAGCTCAGAGTCTGGAGCCTGCTTCAGATTCTGTGTCTCCCTCTTTCTCTGTGTACCCCTCCTCTGATCACACTCTGTCTCTCCCAGTCTCTCTCTGTCAAAAATAAATAAACATTAAAATAAAATAAAGTGCATTACATGGTACAAGTATGGGCCTGAATGGTTGCTTCCATGTATCAATACATTTTTTAATGTTTGTTTATTTTGAGAGCAGGGAAGGGCAGCAAAAGAGGGAGAAAGAGAATCCCAGGCAGGTTCCACATTGTCAGTGCAGAGCCCAACCCAGGGCTCAGTCTCACAAACTGTGAGATTATGACCTGAGCTGAAATCAAAAGTCAGACGCTTAACCAACTGAGCTATCCATGTGCCCCATAACATAGCTCAGTCACTAGTGAAATCAAATCTAAAAGACCTATGACCTCCCAACTCAATAATTCAATTTAACGGTATTTTTTAATTAATTTTTTCAATGTTTATTCCTTTTTTTGAGAGACAGAAAGAGACAGAGCAAGCGGGGAAGGGGAGAGAGAGGGAGACACAGAATCTGAAGCAGGCTGCAGGCTCTGAGCTGTTAGCACAGAGCCCTATGTAGGGCTGGAACCCAAGAACTGCAAAATCATGACCTGATCTGAAATCAGATGCTCAATTGACTGAGCCACCCAGTTTGTCCTTCTCTGTATCATTCTAATCTTAGTATATATACTGCTTAAGTGAGTACAACAATTATTATATGAATACAGGCTTATTTTCAAAAATGTCTAGGCAGCACAAAACATCTCTTTTGCCTCTGTGCACTATTTTTGGTTGAATACGTATTTGGGGGTGGGGAGAGGCAGAGTCATTTAGCAGCTTTTATTCTCCTCAATTTGAGAGCCCCTTTGCCCCCTTTTCCTTTTTGCCATTTTTCTACCCATCTTCCCAGGGACCCCAATAATATTAGATCCGAAGGTGATATAGAATCATTTGCGTTGCTGTTGCAGCTACACTATGGTCTTCCTTCCCTGCCTCAAAATTGCTTAATCTCCAATTATACAGCTTGAAAGAAAGGAAAATATTTTCGATAATCCCTACTTTTAATAATTTTAGAAATATTTTCTCTTGCTTCATCACCATTTTACCTATCTACCTCTTCGTGCTCATCAGTCTTTGGTCCAAGGAAGAAAGGTGTTCTGGGGGACTCCATTTGTGATTCTATAGAAAAGGAGTCTTCTACCAGCACGCACTATGCACACACCCACATACAACACACACACACACACACACACACACACACACACACCCTGCCTCTACCTCTCTACCTTACAGGCAACAGTTTAGACCTCTAGTTTCTCCATTTATGTCTGGGTAGATTTATTCAATGGGAAATTTTGCATAATAAAGCTAATTATTTTTCCATTTTGCCTCAAATCCCTGTGTGCATAATATATTGCCAAGAATACTGACAAACTCTATCCTAAACTCCTGCAGGAAGTGATAATGTTGAGATCTAGAACCAAATAATTTGCCAGTAACTGCTGAGTAATACGAGGGGACTTTTAATGTTCATGGGAGCATGTGAGTCTCACTAATTTGTGTACTGCACGGAAAGTTAAAATAATTCCTCTCTATTCTCCTTTGACTTTATTCCATTCCAACATCAGAAGGAAGAGCGCAATTTATGAGACTCAGGAAATACTGTTTGGTAAACTAAACCCAACCCTTAGGGCTTCCTCGTGTGCTTATTACTGAGAATTAATTTGCTGGGAGAATCCATCTTATTAACTGATTTTCCTGAGTCTGCTCTTGACTGGCAGGGGTGTGCTTAGATGGACTGGTGATTTCATTTGCACATCCATGGGGGAACCTCACGGCTTCCCTCTCTCATATCTACAGCCAAAGGATGATGACCCACATTAGTCAACCACAGACACACACACAGAGGGCAAGAATAAGAACGAGACCCCCTCTATTCAGAGATTACTTTGCAGGCAGATCTCGCAATGCTGAAGTAAAAGAAAAATGAACTTGGGAGACTTGTTTGTTTCTTGGTTTCCAAATGCCCACTCCATCTTTGTTTGTTTGTTTGTTTGTCGGAATAGCATCTCAGTATCCTTTAGGAGAGTTATCTTTCCCCCACCGGAACCGGTTTGACATAAAGTGCCCTGCCCTCTCCTAGGTAAGAGGCAACCATGTGATCCAAACCAGGCTATGTGGACACTCCATTGCTGGAATTTGAACTTTAAGCCAGCATAGTCCTGGGGCGGCTGTGGTCATTACCTGGCACCTTAGAATTGGTCATGTTTTACAAAACATTGTAGATCATGTTCTACTCACTTTGATGTGAGTAACCCAGTGTCTCTCCAATCAATTTGTTAAGTCAGAGTTTCTTGAGTTTGAAAGAAAAGAATCTTAATTAATTGCAAGTGTGAGAGTTAAAGGTCAGAAAGTAACCGTCAAGTATATTGTGAGAAATAAATATACGTTATGCACACACATTTTTTATATCTTTAAAAATGGAAAGTCAACCTTATAATAATATAATCAGATGGGTTAATTTAAATGTCATGCTTGCCAATCTTACAAAATATTATCTCAGATCATGGTGCAATACATTTTAATATCTTTTAAAGTGGAAATACCACAATGAAAAATAAAATATACCTCTTCATTTGAATTTTCTCCTAAATCCGAAAAGCCCTTCAAGAAGATATTTTAATGAGGCAAACTTGGGAGAAGTTGCAATGAAGTAAAACCACCAAAGCCCATGTCTAACTTTCCTATTTCTTTTTTTGAAGTGCTAACTTGGATATAACTGTTAATTTACATTTTCATAGGTAT